GCGAACAGAGCGGCGCCAATACAAGCAGTCCCACCAAGAACAGTGACAGACCACTAAACCCTGTCAGGTTCTCAGCATTTCTAAAGCATAAATCTACCCAAAACAGCATCGGCGTATGAATATTTAAGGCGGGCAGCGTTATCGAGTGTGCTGACAGGTCAACCTTTAAACTTACACTATGTTAATGGTGCAGACCGCGCCACACCCTACCTTGCATGCCTTTTATCCGAGCCGTCAACTAGTTCCAAAATATAACCTCGTATGTTAAGGGAAATATTTATCCGCGTTGGAAGATAATGCCAAAAGGAGAATATATTAATTATAATATAAAGGTGAAATATACGAAAGGAAATATAAAAGTTGAAATAAAGACCAATAATATGGCAGCTGCAGCTCTCAGTAACCCGGTTTTATTATATAATTTAGATTAATTTATCAGAATGTCTAGAATATGACCCGTAAATCAATTTATATGACTGTCATAAAGTTTCTGATCAAATTTACTGTTGGTTATTGATCTCTCGTAAAAATGAGTTAAGGGTTAGGTTAAGAGACATTATTCCTCTCTTGTGGAAATAATTATTTTAAGTCTCCCCAAAATCTTACTCCAAAACAGTTAAAGATCTTATAAACAATGTGAAAAAATCTTGAAAACCAATAAAAAAAACATTTAAAATTATTATATTGCACATAATAAACAATATCATATTTGAGCTCCAATTATTAAGCTTTACCCTGAAGAACAACTTTTCCTCTAACAAAGCAACTAACACAAAGCTCCCTTAATAAGAAATCCAAAGTTTGTATATTTCAGAATTAGTTAACAATATATAAGCCAGGTGTCCCTAACATCATGGAAATAATCAAAAATAAAAAAAAATCTGAATTTATTGAGTTAGAGGAAAAGTGTGGGAGGCCTCGATATACACACAGGCCTCGATATACACAATCGATACACACAGGGCCTCGATATACACCAGAGCCTCGATATACAGGTCTGATATACACACAGAGACCTCGATACACAGGCCTCGATATACACAGGGCCTCGATATACACACAGGGCCTCGATATACACAGGGCCTCGATATACACACAGGGCCTCGATATACAAACAGGACCTCGATATACAGTACACAGGGCCTCGATATACACACAGGGCCTCGATATACACCAGGGCGATATACACACAGAGGCCTCGATATACACCAGGGCCTCGATATACACAGGGCCTCGATATACACAGGGCCTCGATATACACACAGCCTCGATATACACACCGGGGCCTCGATATACACTGGGGTCTCGATATACACACAGGATCTCGATATACACAGAGGTCTCGATATACACACAGGGTCTCGATATACACACAGGGTCTCGATATACACACAGGGTCTCGATATACACACAGGGTCTCGATATACACACAGGGTCTCGATACAGGGCCTCGATATACACACAGGGCCTCGATATACACACAGAGCCTCGATATACACACAGGGCCTCGATATACACACAGGGCCTCGATGTACACCCAGGGCCTCGATATACACACAGGGCCTCGATATACAAACAGGGCCTCGATATACAGTACACAGAGGCCTCGATATACACACAGGGCCTCGATATACACAGGACCTCGATATACAGGGCCTCCCGATATACACACAGGGTTCCGATATACACACAGGGTCTCGATATACACACAGGGTCTCGATATACACACAGGGTCTCGATATACACACAGGGTCTCGATATACACAAGGGTCTCGATATACACAGGGTCTCGATATACACACAGGGTCTCGATATACACACGGGTCTCGATATACACACAGGGTCTCGATATACACACAGGGTCTCGATATACACACAGGGTCTCGATATACACACAGGGTCTCGATATACACAGGGTCTCGATATACACACAGGTCTCGATATACACACAGGGTCTCGATATACACACAGGGTCTCGATATACACACAGGCTCGATATACACAGGGTCTCGATATACACACAGGGCCTCGATAACACAGGGTCTCGATATCACACACAGGGTCTCGATATACACACAGCGCCTCGATATACACTTATTACCAAAATCGAGTTGCAAATTTGTGTCCAATGAAGCGTGAGTATCTGTTTAACCCTCCACCATCCTCCCCCAACCCCACCCCAAGCCCCTACCCCCCTCCCCAAACCTCTCTCGCTATCTGCGTAATGAGTGAAAGACGAAACATAAAAGAAAAATACTGCAAAATAATTATATTAGATTATTCTGTATTGCATCTCCCACTTATAGTGTTCTACTTTATAAAGATATCTAAGAGACAGTTTAAGAGGAAGAGTGTGTGTGTGTGTGTGTGTGTGTGTGTGTGTGTGTGTGTGTGTGTGTGTGTGTGTGTGTGTGCGTCGTGGGTCGTGTGTGTGTGTGCGTCGTGGGTCGTGTGTGTGTGCGTCGTGGGTCGTGTGTGTGTGTGTGTGTGTGTGTGTGTGTGTGTGTGTGTGTGTGTGTGTGTGTGTGTCGTGTGTGTGTGTTGTGTGTGTGTCGTGTTAGTGTCGTGTGCCTTGCATGGATAGTGGCACACATACAGTAAGTTTTAAATACCGATGCTTCTAAAATATGTTACATAAAGCCATCAAGAGGAAAAAGGATAATTGGTGAATGTCAAAATAGCCAATTATTATGCTTGTGCGTTGAGCCAATTACGATGAAGGAGAGTTAAAACACACGGAAAAACTGCTATTTCTATTTTTACTTCAACATTTTCTTAATAAGTGAACAGTAATAAATATTGTTGGATCACGTGAAATTTTACTAACAGCTTATTTCACCTGGTGATTAAACACTCTAATGATAGTTAGGTGAGGTTAGGTTAGGTTATTAAGTTAGGTAAGCGTCATTAATCTAAAGGTGATATTAGTTAAGAGGTTAATCTTCATGTGACCGGAATCGTTTTATTGTGAACAATTTCTCCAAGTTAACAAGTGTTGCAGCCGAGTCCAAATAAGCTATAACAGCAGACACTGTAAGTAAGAGAGGCGGCTGACATATGTTGCCACTGTTTCAAACATCACCACGGTTCACTGCCCGCCCAGAATCCCTCCACAGTTCGTGAGGTGAATTTTTCCTCCTATCTGGAAATATGAGAACGCTTGTAAGTTGTGTTTACCGTGAAACTCAACGACAGAGACTGCAATGATATGGAAGTGACCACTGAGGCTTTGGCTACAGGGATTATTTTTGCTCTAGTAAATAAAGATGTGAGAATGCGTGTAATGTTAAATTAAAACACAATATGAAAGCTTCTCATTATTTCACATTTCTTTTTTTTAATACATTCTTATTTATACCTGAACAGAATATTGGGACAATTCAGTAGCCCTATGTACCGTGTGACTGAAGGCATATGAACAAATATGTGATGGATTTGACTTACTGTAGCTGTAAAAAAACCTCAAACTTCTGACAGAGAATTTCAGTAAATTATTGATATAAAACATTAACCTCCTCTGACTTATAGTATTTAGTGTCAACAGTTTAGTTCATATTAAAAGCTTCTATATCTTCATCAAAACAATGTAATGGATTCAATTTTGTAATATTTATAAAAACATTTTCGTTGCCCTCATGTACACAAAGTAAAACATTCGCATCTCCCCACCGCGGCCCAGTTTACCAGAGCAGTAATGATTGTCACTCGTAAGATCAGATATATTCGATTGTGTGGCCCTTATGTAGCAATTCTGCAGCAGCGATCGTTATAACCGTAATTAATAACAATAATGGTTGTGTCCAGTGCTGGGGATGGTCGGGACTGAAGCCTCTGATGTGGGATATTGGCTAAAGATAGAAGAACACCACCAACACAACAACCAGGCCCTGAGTTAGTGAGGTGGCACGGTGTGACGACTGACCTGACCTGACCTAATCTAACCTAACCAGGCCCTAGTTAGTGAGGTGTATGACCGGTGTTGACGACTGACCTAACCTAACCTAACCCTAACCTAACCAGGCCCTGAGTTGGTGAGTGTATGACCCGGTGTTGACTGACCCTAACCTAACCTAACCCTAACATCCCTGAGTTAGTGAGGTGTGACCAGTGTTGACGACTGACCTGACCTAGCAACCTAACCTAACCAGGCCCTGGAGTTGGTGAGGGTGTATGACCCAGTGATGACGACTGACCTAACCTAACCTAACATAACTACCTAACCAGGCCCTGAGTTGGTGAGGTATATGACCCGGTGATGACGACTGACCTAACCTAACCTAACATAACCTAACCAGGCCCTGAGTTAATAAGGTGTATGACCCGGTGTTGACTACTGTCTAAACTAACCTAACCTAACCATCACCCAGGAATACCAGCTATTAATCGCTTGACATCCAGATCCTAAATTACAGGTGGGAAAACAATAACAAGTAAAGTGAACTATTACCTTCACTACAGGTGTATTCTGAACAGCATTTCACAAACACGTAATATCATAAAGTAAAAACATTATTAACCATTTATTTTCTTACTATTTAATACTTTTTATGAAGTTGTATACAAATTATCTAACTATTGTGATATGAGCTGATATGATGTTATATTACATAGTGCACTGATACACTCACCAGGAGGCGTAACACTTAAAGTTGCTATTCCTTGGTGTCGACGGCTTGCGAACCATATATTATTTGTTCGTAAATAGTGACCTAAGATTTAACTTATATATATTCGTTAAAAAAAAGGGTAAAAATAAAATCATATTAAATAACACTGAACACACACACACACACACACACACACACACACAGACAACAAAAAACTGTGGAGAAGGAATTTGCATTTTCCATTTGTCGAAATTGGCAAGAACGAGTGAGTGGGGAGAATACCCGACTGGGCGCGTTCAAGCCGGGCCCAAAACACGATCCCAGAAGTTTAAATAACAGGGGAGGGTCGTCGTTTAAGCTCGAATTTCTCTAAAAACTTTCCCCAGACTACGATTACCCGGAAATAAACCTTAATCTCAACAGGCAAGAGTTCTCGTAAGTTTTGGAAAGTTTCACACTTCTGCTACGAGTAAACTGTGTTGACACCGGGGAGCTCTTGAGGGCTGAGCATGTGGGAGCTCTTAGGGGTGCTGAGTTTAATGGGAGCTCTTGAGGGAGCTTGAGTGTAATGGGGGCTCTTGAGGGTGCTGAGTGTAATGGGGGAGCTCTTGAGGGTGCTGAGTGTAATGGCTGAGTGTAATGGAAGCTCTTGAGGAGCTGAATGTAATGGCTGGTGTATGGGGGCTCTTGAGGGTGCTCACACTGCTCAGTGTAATGGCTGAGTGTAATGGGAGGTTTAGGGGTGCTGAGTGTAATGGGAGCTCTTGAGGTGCACAGGTGTAATGGGGAGCTCTTGAGGGGTGCTGGAGTGTAATGGGGAGCTCTTGAGGGTGCTGAGTGTAATGGCTGAGTGTATGGGGAGCTCTTGAGGGTGCTGAGTGTAATGGCTGAGTGTAAGGGGCTGCAGTGCTGAGTGTAATGGCTGGAGTGTAATGGGGAGCTCTTGAGGGGTGCCGAGTGTAATGGCTGAGTGTAATGGGAGCTCTTGAGGGGTGCTGAGTGTAATGGCTGACTGTAATGGGGAGCCTTGAGGGTGCTGAGTATGGCTGACTGTAAGGGGAGCTCTTGAGGGTGCTGAGTGTAACGAGGAGCTCTTGATGGGTGCTGAGTGTAATGGCTGAGTGTAATGGGAGCTCTTAGTGCTGAGTGTAATGGATGAGTGTAATGGGGAGATCTTGAGGGTGATAGGTGTAATGGGAGCTCTTGAGGGTGCTGAGTGTAATAGGAGCTCAAGGTGCTGGTGTGTGGGGCAAGGGGTGCTGGGTGTATGGGGAGCTTTTGAAGGGTGCTGGAATGTAATGGCTGGTGGAAGGAGTTTGAGGGGTGATGAAGTGTGGGGGATCTTGAGGTGCTGAGTGTAATGGGGAGCTCTTGAGGGGGTGCTGAGTATATGGTTGGTGTGAGGAGATCTTGAGGGTGATGAGTGTAATGGGGAGCTCTTGAGGGTGCACGGGTGTAATAGGGGCTCTTGGGGGTGCTGGTGTAATGGCTGAGTGTAATGGGGAGCTCTGAAGGTGCTGAGTGTAATGGATGAGTGTAATGGGGGAGATCTTGAGGGTGATGAGTGTAATGGGGAGCTCTTGAGGGTGCTGAGTGTGGGGCTCTTGAGGGTGCTGAATGTGGGGAGCTCTTGATGGGTGCTGGAAGTGTGGGGGCTCTTGAAGGGGTGCTGAATGTAATGGCACAAGTGTAATGGGGAGGCTCTTGAGGATGCTGAGCATGTGGCTGAGAGTGTAATGGGGGCTCTTGAGGGTGCCGAGTGTAATGGCTGAAGTGTAATGGGGAGCTCTTGAGGTGCCGAGTGCAATGGCTACTGAGTGTAATGGGGAGCTCTTGAGGGTGCTGAGTGTGTGCTGACTGTAATGGGGGCTCTTGAGGGGTGCCGAGTGTGGCTGACTGTAATGGGGAGCTCTTAAGGGTGCTGAGTGTAATGGCTGGAGTGTAATGGGGAGCTCTTTGAGGGTGCTGAGTTAATGGCTGAGTGTAATGGGGAGCTCTTGAGGGTGCTGAGTGTAATGGCTGACTGTAATGGGGAGCTCTTGAGGGTGCTGAGTGTAATGGCTGGTGTATGCAGGAGCTCTTGAGGGTGCTGAGTGTAATGGGGAGCTCTTGAGGTGCCGGTGTAATGGCTGAGTGTAATGGGGAGCTCTTGAGGGTGCTGAGTGTAATGGGGAGCTCAGGGGTGCTGAGTGTGTGGCTGAGTGTAATGGGGCTCTTGAGGGTGCTGAGTGTAATGGCTGAGTGTAATGGGGAGCTCTTGAGGGTGCCGAGAGTGTGGCAGGTGTGGGGAGCTCTTGAGGAGTGCTGAGTGTAATGGCTGAGTGTGTGAGCTCTTGAGGGGTGCTGAGTGTAATGGTTGAGTGTGAGGGGAGCTCTTGAGGGTGCTGAGTGTAATGGGAAGCTCTTGAGGGCTGCTGAGCATACTAGTGGGGAGCTCTTGAGGGTGCTGGTGTGGCCAGGGAGGTCTTGTGGGGTGCTGAGTGTAGTAGGGAGCTCTTGGGGGTGCTGAGTGTAATGGCTGAAGGTGTAATGGGGAACTCTTGAGGGTGCTGAGTGTAATGGGGAGCTCTTGAGAGGAGTGCTGAGTGTAATAGGGGAGCTCTTGATGTGTGCTGAGTGTAATGGGAAACAAGTGGTGCTAGTGTAATGGGGAGTTCTTGAGGGTGCCTGAGTGTAATGGGGACTTCTTAGGGGTGCCTGAGAGTGTAATGGGGACTTCTTGAGGGTGCTGAGTGTATCAGGCTCAGAGGTGCTGAGTGTAATGGGGAGCCTTGAGGGTGCTGAGTGTAATGGGGAAGCTCTTGAGGGTGCTGAGTGTAATGAGGCTCTTGAGGGGTGCTGAGTGTGTGGGGACTTCTTGAGGTGCTGAGTGTGGGGGCTCTTGAGTGCAGTGTGGGGAGCTCTTGATGCTGAAGTGTGGGACTTTGAGGGGTGCTGAGTGTAATGGGGAGCTCTTGAGGTGCTGAGTGTGTGAAGCTCTTGAGGGTGCTGAGTGTGGGGGGCTCTTGAGAGGTGCTGGTGTAATGGGGGCTCTTGAGGGTGCTGGTGTAATGGGGAGCTCAGGGAGTGCTGAGTGTAATGGGGGCTCTTGAGGGTGCTGAGTGTAATGGGAGCTCTTGAGGGTGCTGGAGTGTAATGGGGAGCTCTTGATGGGTGCTGAGTGTGGGGGCTCTTGGGGTGCTGATGTGTGAGGAGCTCTTGAGGGTGTGGAAAGATAAGATGTGTGAGGGATTGCTTGTGTTCATGTTGTTGTGTGGTGGCTATGTTGTGTGGTGGTGGTTATATGTTGTGTGGTGGTGGATTATGTTGTGTGGTGGTGATGTTGTGTGGTGGTGATGTTGTGTGGTGGTGATGTTGTGTGGTGGTGATGTGTGGTGGTGATGTTGTGTGGTGGTGATGTTGTTGTGTGGTGGTGATGTTGTGGTGGTGATGTTGTGTGGTGGTGATGTTGTGTGGTGAGTGATGTTGTGTGGTGGTGATGTTGTGTGGTGGTGATGTTGTGTGGTGTGATGTTGTGTGGTGGTGATGTTGTGTGGTGGTGATGTTGTGTGGTGAGTGTGTTGTGTGTGGTGATGTTGGTGGTGGTGATGTTGTGTGGTGGTGTTACTGGCTATGGTTTTGGTGGTGAGCAGGTTTCGTAGGCAGTTGGGATACACCTGTAGATAAGCGTTTTAAGCACTACTCTCGACTGTTTACACTTTCCAACTACAAGGTTAGGCACCTATTATATATAAGTATAGCTGAACTTGGAGTGCCCCAGGCGTGAACCCATAGTACAGCAGGCAAGGCAAA